GCATGCTAACGTTGGAGCAGGTAAGAACAGAGGGTATTGGTATTACCTGGATCTCATCTCTTGCTCAGTCATATCTCCCCTTCCATGTAGCTTTTGTCTTATTTCCCCCTTTTCTTTTCGTATTTCAGAAGAGGAGGGGTCTTGGCAAGCTGTGATTGTTTGATAGATAGATACCTCCTATTGAGGAGAAAGGCGTGGAGGAGGAGTTGGGAGCAGAGGATGAGGTGTGTGTGTTCTGCCGTCTGCTGGGGATAGGAGCCATGTGTGTCTGTGAGGAATGATGGATTACATGGGGGGCATGGGTTTATGTGTGTATGTGTTTATATGTGTTTGTGTGTATCCCCTCAATGTACCCCTCAAATGGACACGGCAGAAGCATGGCAGGGAAACAACTTTTCACAACGGCAGCTGGAAAAGGTAATTACATAAAGCAAATGTTAGTAAACGGGAATCTCCAGGAATTAAATTTGACACCATATATGCAATAGTGCAGTGTTTTGGCAGTAAATGGGCAAATTATTTTGTATTTTGGACAGGGGCACAGGTGGTTGAGTATGCAGACATACGCTTGGCCTTCTGTCAGATTAAAATGAGTTGAAGAAAAAAAAAGACGTGTGAATTGATTTGTTGAGACATTACGAGATCATCACCTCCATCCACAGTGGATTGTGTGTCCTTGCCTCCTTCCTGTCCAACTGTGAGGGCACAGCGGTGTGTGGGATTGGTTAACAGTGGTGAGGTCAGCCAAATCTCCTAGCTTATTTCCATTACAGCCGTCAGCAAGAGCTGTAATTGATCTGCCATTTTCTACAGACTTTCAACATGAGCTGATGAAAGTGTATCATGAGACATGTGGATAAACCAGATAGAGGGTGGCATGGTCAGCCATTGCACTGCATCTGTCAGCAACACAAAAACATCAGCAGTCGCCCCGGCACACAAATGCTATTACAACCGTAAAGTGTGTGTGCAGGTGCCGAAGTGTGTAGACCTTATCATTGCTGGCCGCATTCCTTTCAGGAAGATTAATGAGGCCAAATGAACCCAATTGCAGCCGTGTGAGAGCAATACATGGTATAGTGTGAAAGATAGGGTGTTTGTCCATGATGAATAGATTTTAAGTACCTACATCTTACAGATAAGAAGAGAGAATTAGCATGGGAAACAGCAACAATGCTACAGTGTACGTAGGTTCACATAAATGCCAGTAGAGCAGCCCAGACAAACAGCAACAGACACAACATTCAGCCACCCAGAGGCTTAAGATGTCATTATAAACTTAATTTTATGCAGCCCTTGGCCATCTGTGCTTTGCTTACACGGTGACATATTGAAGCTGACTGTAGCGAAGAAAGTGGAAATAAGTCCTTATATGAATGAGCACTTTAAAGTTGCTGTCAGGGTGCCCTTCTTACAGATATGGATGCGCTTGTAGTAAAGCTGTTTTCAAATAATGTGGTATGCACTGAGCTCGTCACGCAAAAAAGTCACCAAGCAACAGAGAATAGTGCACATTTGGAAATCACATCCAATAACATGTCAACTTTAGGACAAAAAAGGGAAGAAATGCAGGAAGTATCTTGTTTTTCCAAGCATGTCACAAATGTGAATACTTGGTTTACCTCCCAAGCTTACAGATAAAGGCTCAGTGCTAGAAAATGGCTTTACTAATACTTAGGAAGATGAGAAGAATTGCAGCAGCTGAAATGTGTGGGTTCATACTGTCATTGTAAGACAGTTTGGACAGTGTGGCAAACCAGTAGCTGCAGCTGTACAATGGCTGTTCCCATGTGAAGTTGAGGCTGAGTATGGAGCAATTTAACACCCTGTCGGAAAGAGTGGTGATGGCAAAACTCAGAAGCAACGTCAGGCAGCACATGACTTCATGGAATGTCTGGTACTTTGACTGGGGTGGGTGATTTGTTGAGATGTGTTAGATTAACTCTGGATCCATAGGCTCGTCACAGCACACTGTGCCCAAGTGGAACAGAGGCATTGGGGGGGGCACTGAGCTAAGCTTGTTTTTGTGTGGACACTTAAACATGAATAAGCCAGCATGGGTCTCATGTAATCAATTTAAAAGAGTGTACCTCATTTCAGCTGACTAAAACAACTCTGTGTGAGTTTGCAATTTAATAGGGAAACAGTACAAATACAGAATTGTATGAAAATGAAAACAAATCGCATTCCAGTTTTGCTAGTGCTGTGAGTTAATCACAGCTGGCCTGTGATCTTCTAAACAAATGAGGAGACTATCTGGTTTCTGGTTCCCGTTCACAACTATGGGAATTTTCTCCATATAGGTTTAATTCTGCTGTCTTCTATGAGTTTCTTTCTGATATGACACACAGATGATTTTCCTCCTCTGGGCTCAGATGAGGAATTTGCTGGATGACGGAGCACATTTCTCTATCTTAAGGAGCAATGTTGCATTTCATTAGGGATAAAATTCATCACTGCAAGGTAGCAAGAGAGCTGTGCAAATCATACTGGAAAAATACCTACATAGTTTTTAGCGTTCTCTCTTCCACACATATAAAAATACACACAAAAACTACAAAGAACAGTTGATACACAAAAGGCATAAAGCAAACAAAAGCTGAGAGAGCTGATTTAGGAGATAAAGGAGAACATCAAGGACGGTGATGCTATGTGATCGCTCATTACTGTGCACTTCAAAATGATATATTACTGGTAGGCTAAGAGTGGCAGCAAGGTGTTAAACTGGCATAGTTTTTTTTTCTTTTAAAACAATGGAAACTGTCCTGTAGAGGCCTGGATACCAACAAGGCCGAACATGGGGGTCGGGACTTTGCTCTTCTGAAAAAAACTACAGAGCATCTGAGTGAAAGGACACCTGGGGGTCCATTCTGGATAAGTTCCAGATCTGACCTTGGAAAAATGGCTCTGATAAGGCCTGTATAAAGACCAATTTAACAGGTCACAACCCTGTCTTAGAGTGGGAGCAACACAGTGGAAGCGTGTGAACACTGCCAGAGGGATCTGTCCTATGATGAGATGTTGGCGATATCCAACTGTAGCCCTGACCCTCCAGCAGAGACTGTCAGACTATTGATTCATCTCACGGACAGCTGGGAGACGGGGACAGAGTCAGGTTGTGTGTTCTGGAACACAGTGTGGTAAAAGTGTGTATATGTGAGCGAGTAGTTGACGTCTTGTATAAAATCATGTGTGGACCCAAAACAACAATAAGAAAGAAAGGATGAGGACAGAGGCTGGGGCCTTCCTATATATGCTGAAAGCCAACAGCTGCACATAGGACACAACAGATCTATTCATACCAGATGCGCACAAATGTAGAAATGCACACACACTTGGCACATGGTGGACAGTGGCCCCGTTGTGGCTGAGACGATAAGAGGGATGCCATGCAAGCTCTGTGAGTTACAGCGTGGGAGATGTTACCACATGCTACTAGACAGTCCTCTATGTCTTCTGCTGTATCAAACACAAAGACTGAGCCTGTCTGCTGCAGGCCGCATGCTGGCTTGGCTTGAGACAGCCAGCTGAGTGTAGGATGGACCTGGATTTGTATGGAAGAAATATTAGATAATACATGGACTTTAATGAAAGCTTTGACGTTGATATGAATGAAACATATAAACAGAGGAGAACATAGCACAAAGAGATTGAATTAGTAAAGGGGGAACACAGAGCCCTGCATTTGAACATTTTCCAATCTCTGCATTTTAAGTCCTATGTTGAACCGTAAGCAGGGACACGTGCATTAAACTATATCCGTGACCATGCACCTCATTTACTTGAATGGCTTGCTTAACTTTGGTCATAACTTCACTCAGACTCAGCTCCAGTCAAAATGTACAGACTTGATTTTCCTGGATGGCCATAAACTGCTGAGCGGGAAGTACTGTCTTTGTTTAGCAGATCTGCTTTTGTGCTTTGGCAGCTGTTTGAACCTCTCTCTGGCCCAGGCTGGTCTCTCTGGGAGAGGTCAATGGTGAGGATGTCTGCCAGGTGAGAGGTTGGCTCAGGTTTAATCAATGCCTGCCAGAGGAAGACACACAAGCTTGCAGGCAGGTAGACAGGTCGGCACTGTAACCACCAGGTAGAGATAAAACTATTCCTGGTGGGGTTCAGTGGCCAAATTAAAGCTTCTACTGTGGAAAAACTCACGCTTCAAGTCGGTTTAGGGGATTGATTTGACAGCTAATTTACAGAGGAGATTTGCATAAGGCCATGCGTTAATGAAGGGGGATTTTCTTTTCCTTCCTTTGTCTTTCTGTACGATCTCTTCTGTTCTATCCTTCCTTTTTTTTTTTTAACACGGCAAATAGGAACAGATAATGTAAGCGAATTAAAGAGACAAGAGATTCAAATTGGATATTGATTAAGAGACTAAAGCCTTGTGTTTTTTCCTGTTAAAGCTTGTGTTCAAATGATTGATTCACAATGTCAAGATCTACATCCGACTGTGGGATACTTGGGAACAGTTGTGCCTCTATGTCTTGAATAGGCCCACATCATGTCACACCATGCTAAGTACTTCGACAAAGCCACACAAAGAGCCCTGCCTATCTTCTGCCAATCTCCTTAGATCCTGGTGTCACCCTGGTGGAGCCTTTCAGAGAGAGCAAGGACAAATTCTCCTTCTCAACAGCACCACACAAAGCAGCCTGACTGGCAACAGAGAAGACAAAATTAAGGTTCTCTGTCACTTGGATGCTCTGGAAGAGTAAAGGTAAAAAGCGGCATCTACTGAATGCGAAGAACCGGTGTGGAAATGATCTTCCTGAACTCACACAGTCTTATTACAAAAACCCATCTAAAATCTGCACATTTTTTCCAGGATTATGAAATAACCTCCTCTCAATAGAACATGAACACTACATATGAATACCCATCACTTTTGTTCTAGCACATTCTAGCATAAAAGACAAACTTAAGTTTACACAATAATAAAACAAAAGTACATACAGTATCACACATGTTCACAAAGTAACACTCACCAACTTAAACAACTAGAACTTACTGTTCTTGTTCTTGAAGAGGTTAAAAATAGGGAGGATCTGCCTGAAGTATGGGACCAGGGCCTCCCCCACCTTGTCTGCAGACAGCACCAGATGCTGTAGGACTTTCAGGGTTGTGCACATCACCTGATGGTTTCTTGTGTTCAGTGCATCTGCAAGGCAAGATAAACAGCAAAGTTCACGAATTGGACTCTGGCAAGAGATTATCAATTAAAGAGGTTTTGTGGACAAATGGCCGAAGTAACCCAAAAAGACGGCAGGTTGTTTGATTTGGAAGGTGGAGGTTGAATAAATGGAGAGTGGTTTCGACATCTGCAATTAGGTGGTAGATAAGAATGCCCTCAGCAGACACAGATAAAATATACTTAAACCTTAACCCCCTTGCATGTTTTTTTTCCTTAAAAGCATTTCCTATACAGCTAGGCTTTGATTTAGACTAGCTTGTCTGCAATCAGTGATTTCAAATGCACTGGGGAGGCAGGAGTAAGTGAGAGCCAATCAGTGGGCTATTTGGCCTACAGGCTGCACTTAACTTCATCTCCAACTGATAGAGAGAACAAAAGAGAATAATGGTGGGGGAAATGGAGGGCTAGAGAAATCGAGAGACCAATATAATGGGAGCGAGTATGATAGAGGAGTACAAAAAATGACAAGGGACAAAATGTCAGAAACAGAGGTGAAGAGATATGACAGTCAGTGAGCAAAGGCTTTTAGAGCAAACTTATTAACCAGCAACCAAGGGAGACCTTTTAATAGTTATTTGCTTAATTTTTTTGTTTTATATTTTGTTTATGTTTTATTTTTTGCATTCTAGGAGCTTTCACCATTTATATATTACACAATATCTCAATGAAAATTTAAACTGTAATTTGATTTTTCTATTTCAAAACAAGGACAGTAATGAGATCATACTATTTTGCCAGTAAGCATTTAAAAATGGTTTTAAATATATATATATATGTATTCATGCCAGTCACCGATTCCAGATGATTGGCTTTGGGTGACTGTTTTATTTCTGATTATATCAATACAGTGCATATATCACAAACAAAGGCTTGCTTTTCAGTTGAGACGGCTGCAAAAAAGCATTAAATTATTTTCTCAATGAGCTATTACAAGAAAATAACAAAAGATTATTTATCTGTCTACAGGTATAACCATGACACTGCGCTGCCACAGTAAAACAATGGAGAATTAATTTTTTTTGGGGGGGTGTGCCACAGCGATTGCTTAAAGAGCTACTTTATATTACATCATAAAAATGATGATCTTAAGGCACCATATTTACACTGACCACAGATTAACTGAGAGAAGGAAGTTTATTATGTCTAGCAATTAAAGAACCGAGATAACAACATAGATTTTTATCCCTAGCACTCTTTATGCTTCTGAGATCCATTAGCTTTATTCAGGTACTGGAGTCTATCCTTGCTGACACTTTGTGTTGACCGGCAACCTGGACCTCCCACCAGTCCATCAGAGGGCTATCACATCCAAAGATCAGCAGCCTTTACAAAATGACCACTTACAGTATCCCAAAACTGTTTATTATCCCTGCTAAGAGAGGGATATTTTCATTTAGCAATTTTGTGCAACCTTGTTTTCTAGCTCTTCTATCCTACAGTCTGTGACCCAAAAAACTGATCTCAGTGTGGCATCTAGGGGGATGTCTTTATTCCTAAAATGTATTTAGAGGTAAACTTGCAGAAGAAACATGCGTGGAAGTATTTTTGGAATCCATAAAGGTAAATATAGTCATAAAGGCATGTTACAGAAAGTTATGACAAAACTACAGACTTGTAACTATAAACTATAGAGGAGAAGGTGTGTATATTATTTTATGTGTTACAGCCTCTGTCCTCCCTTACCTACTTTGCTCACATATTAGGTACAAGTAAAGGCAAGAAAATAACTCATTGAAGCATGTATCAAAAAAGGGAGGTGGTGTCAGTGTTTGGCATGTGGGAGAAATGAAATACCATGAAAACACAGGCACTATTTTGCTTTGCAAGCTCCAAACTGGATGGGAGGGTAAAATAGAGAATAATGGTGCTGTAGGCCACCCTGTGTTAAAAAAGCTCATCTGTTAATACAAAATAATTACAAATATGCACACATACAATACAATTTATAAATTACACACACACACACACACACAATTTTATGGCTATTTACTATACAAGCACATTCTGCAGCAGAGGACCAAAAAAGGGAGAAGAGGTTGTAATAAGAGGTTGTAAGGTTCAAGGAATACTTGAGTCTCTATCTAATTGAATGACTAATTGATCTAGGACCACAGAGGAGAAGAAGCACGTGAAGGCATGACTATCTGTCAGTGACATGCATTTGTGAATGCGTGTGTATGAGAGAGTCTGTAAAGCAGAGGAGATGATGCTGAATGAGCAAATGCATTGTGCTTGATGACAGCTCTCCATCTCTGCCTCAGTGTGTCCCCAGATAGACAAGCCCCGAAATATTTGCCATCCCCAAGATAAGGTGAAGCGAGGAATGACAGGAATTTCAAACCTACATAACAAACAATGAAATTCTAATTACCAGCCAGCACAAACAATTTTCCCTGCTGTGACATTTGGACTGCGGGACTGTTCAACTATTCATTGGCACTCTCGCCTTGCTAGAAAAAAAAGGGAAGAAAAAATTAAAAGAGTGAAGGAGAAGGCAGACAAAGGCCTGATATATTAATGCTTGTTTAAAAGCCGTGTTGGAACAAATCTGAATAAAGTAATCATCTCTTCATGCAAGGACCTGTTTCATATTCAGCAAGAAAATAAAACAACAATGACCTTGTATTTAGTTTCCTCTGAAATGTCAGAGGCAGGGTGACGGAGTTTAGCAACAAATTGTTCTCATGAGGTATATAAATACACTTTTTAGATCAGAAGAAGATGTTCCCTGGCATAGGCGTAACTGTGGATCTCCTTGTAATGAAAATCTCATTTTAGTTCAAAGCTGAGCAAATGTTATACCAATCAACTGAGGCTCAGTGTGGGCATGACTTTGAATCTTCCTCCCCATTTAAGGGTGACAGAGAGACCCAAACAAGACAAATTCAGTAACATGTCCCTAACAATGACAGAATAAAAAGAACAAAATTGAAAAAATATTTTAAAAAATGTATTGAATCTTATAAAGATGTTGCTGAACTTTGATTTTTTTACCTTATTTTCAGCTTTTAGGACACTCTCTAAAGCAGCTCAAACGAAACATGTTGTATTGAAAAGAAGAGCTCAGTTGCGAGTTATATAGGAAAGAATCTTGGAGAATAAGAGCAGACTGAGTATTCCTCATTGTGTATTCTCATTGGGTGACCTGCAGTCATCATCAAAATTCACCAGGGCCTAACGTAGTTCAGTCACTCTGCAGATAAGAGCCTGCCAGCCAAACTGAAGATGTATTAACGTCAGAGGAGAGAGGTATATATCTAGCCATTTTTAAACTCTGGACGACATTTTGCTTTCTCCCTCTTTCCACTATCCCTTCTTCTCCTTTTTCACATAGAAAAGTAATTAATCTGCAACGGGCACATGGGCTTGCGGCTTCGCCTTGTGGAAGGCAAAACAGGCCTGATTTTTAATAAACTAAAAAGTTAATAAGGAGCAGGCCATTTAAAATTCCATTATCAGGGCGAAGTGTGTGTTTTCACATAAGCATCACCTTTCGCCTGACCTCCCCAAGTGTAAATGACTAAAACGGGTTAAGGATTTAAAATAAAATACTGTTTGGGATCGAGTGGCTAAGTCACCATGTGGTGGAAAGTTAAGTTTTCTTGTCGTGATAGAGAACAAAAAAGATTTGGAGGTCCAAATACTTGTGGAGAAATGTAAAAAAAGATGCCCTTAATACTGTGCATTGCACTTAAACAAAGATTTGATAAACCATAGCATGATCTTCTCTTTAGAAATTAAGGCTGACACATTCAGGAAAAGTGTTAAAACTGCTTATTGTTGTGCATACAGTAGAATTTGAATATGTTACACTGACGTGGGATGGTTAGGAACTAACAGTGTGTGCTCAGTGTAGTTCTGTGCCAGGGTCGGTCTGTCATCGTGTCTCCATGTCTCCCAAGGACCTGCCTAGTGTTGGCCGTCATGCCCCTCTGCCTCCGCAGACATCCAACACCCACCCACACAAAGAAGGAGCACACTTACTTCAAACACAAGTACACACCAGCAGCCAACTGCCCATGACATAAACACTACCGCAGGCTCGCTGGGCGCCACTTAAAGGCCCCCCCTTTGAAACTGACACTGCACTTGGCAGTGGCGCCAAACAAAAGGCAGCTCATGTGTGCAAGTGTGAGAGTGTGGAATTGTGTGTTGGTGCATGTGCCAAAATTTTCCAACAAAAAAAGCGCTTTGAAATCCTGCAACATCCTTGTCTTCTGCCCACACCAAACCTTTCCTATCCACTTTGTCATGAATTCTGATGTCTATTGAAGTCGGTCCACTTCACCCGAAGAAATGACCTATCCCCCCACCTCTATCTGCCAATTTGTGTATGTCTGTGTGTGTGTGTGTTTGTGTGTGTGTGCAGTGGAAAGGTAAGGTGACACAGCCCAATGACAGTTAAATGTAGCATGTCACCACATTCATGGCAGATTACCAGGAATACTTTCAGAGTCAACTTCTTCCAGCCAATGCAAGAACAAGGACGCTCCGCCCGAGGGTTAATGTTATAATAGGAACAGTATGGCTGTGAGACAAAATTAGGATGTCAAATCATGAATGGCTGAATGGCCATGTTGTTGGTAGGTGAGACTTTTTCTGTTGGTGTTTGTACTCCACAGTTAACAAACTCATCTGGAAAGGCTTTTAGAAAGACATCAAGTAGATCTTTCTTAACCATTAAAAAATAAGTGATTATGCAATCAATTCAATGTTGATAACATTATTCTAGGCATGAAGTCATCTTTTTCATCAGGATTCCTAGAGACTATACTGATTTTGTCATCCAACTTGTGCTTACAAATGTTTGTGCATTGTGTGTTCCTTTCATTTATTTAAGTCAGCAGATGTTGTAGATGTACCATCAGCACCTGGGAAAACTGAGACAGACACTAATATTCTATTTGATGAAGTCATTCAAACAAAAATTAAAAGCTTGTCAATCACTCTTAAAATCATGCAAATACATTCTATAAGCAAGTTTGCCAAAATGAAGCGCGTGACTAATTAGTGGCTTGGTGGACGTGTGAGTTCGACAAACTGCAGCTTCGGAAAGCACATTTGAATAAATTTTGGGGCTGCAGTTTCTGAGTTCATATTCACCAACCTGGCAGCATGTGTATTAGCTCTACCCAGCACAGACAGCAGAAGTGTTTCTACTTTCTTTGCAGCACATGTGGTCTAATTGATGATGCTGTTTTCTCAGTTCACGGCACAGCTCAGCAGGTGTTTTCATAAGCTGCAGTGCATTGAGCACTCTCAGCCCCACAGAGCAGGGCCCCTTCAAAGCAAATTGAATGGTTGCCATATTCTAATCACCGAAGACTGCTTTGAAAATTGTCCTGTGTATCTGCACATTGAGTCCTAGCTATGAAAAAATAAGAATAAAAAAGTACACATTTGATTTTGACAAACCTCACATGGTTTCAATTCTGATTTTGACTATTTCGTAAGCTTGCAGGATATCTACAGCACTCTAATTATAATATATTTGATAAAAAATTACCTGACATTTCGGTAAAAAAAAACAAAAAAACAACAGGGAACATATTCAATGGGAATTTGGGAATTTTTTTTGTTTGATTGGTCAACCATTTGTGCCTCTCCAACTTACTCTTGATGGGGATGATGAGCTGAGGAATGACAGGAAGGATCTTTGGACCTCCACGGTCCAACATATCATGAATTCCCTGGCGGGCGAAGAACTCATAGGGATGAGTAGTCTCACACAAGCCATCAAAAAACAGTGGCAGGTAGTGATGGTAATCCAGTTTTTCGATATCCACCTGAGGAGAGGAATGCACATGTACATTTACTGGTATTACTAATTACATATATCATCTACATGGTATCAAAAAGAGAAAAGAGGCAGTATATCTGTTCAAGAATTCATTTCTTTATTGAGGAAATTAAATCTTTTTCTCTTGGTTGTTACTATGTCGTCTAAAGCTCAGTTCATTCTTGGCTCTTTGTCTCCGTTTGCCCTTGGCTTTGAACAAAATCTAGGGCTAATGCTCATCTTGCAGCCATTTATAACCCTTACAACAAACACCCACACACACCAGCACACAATGGTACGGGACAGCTGTTGGGGAGATCATGACACAGCGGCATGTGGCATCTTGTGGGCTGACACGTTAACACCTGTTTACACCATTTACAGAACAGAAAGAAACGTACACAAAGCACAATTGGGCAGTCGATGAAGACATTTGTCTTTCTTCAGGCAAAGGGCACACTTTGATGTTGTTCACTTGAGGGTGACATGTGTCACATATTATAGAGAAGCCTTTCATGTGTAAGAAACCATCAGAGGAAAGCCATGAAGGCAAACCTGGAAGCCTGTCCTTGAGCCACCTAGAGTCTGCATGTGTGTGCCCTGGAAATAATAGGAAATTTGACATGGCTCATGTAGTATTTGTCTACAAGATCCAGTTACTGTGTATTTATATCAGGCGCGTCAGCTGTTGCAATTAATCCAAATGGTGCTTTTGTTGATTTGAGGTTAAAGGTCGAAGAGGCCGTTCTATTTCTCTAAGTAATGAAATGAAGCCACCTTCAGGACCATTGCATGGCTTGAAGCCATAAAGAAAGACACCTAAGAGTCACAAAATCACACACACACACACCTTCACACACACACACACACACCTACACACACATATATATATATATATATATATGATCACTATACCAACAAAGTGTGCTGCTGGGTCACGTTGCTCTGCGCTTAAATGTCACAGAAGCAGTGACACTGCATGCTTTCAAGTCTCTGGCTCTTGCTGGTCAGAGCTGAGACTTCAAAAGAAGAGCTGACCCCCTCCCACCTCCTCCTCAGCACTCTTGCTGCCAATCATCCCTGACACACGCCTAACCCCCCTGGGTAAACACAGGCATGGGAGGGGAGAAACTAGAGATGGAGAGAGAGAAGGAAAGCAGGGGAGATAGAAAGATGGCAACAGAGACCCAGAGGCTTCCACTGTTAGTGCAGAGAGACAAGTCTGATTGCTTTGAGGCAATATGCTGGCCAACCTTGACCTTTCTCCGTGATTGGTCAAGATCATCATTGTGAGTCAGGCGGACTACAAAGAAGAATAAAAGCAAACATGAGCCCAGAGAGAAGGAGCTGAGGGGAAATGAAGGGGTGGAGAGGGTGAGGACAGGCGAAAGGGCACTGCATTGCTTACAAGCCAGTAACAGTCGGTCACAGACAGAGACACATCATGCCATCAGCTGCTATTTTGGAACTGACTTCAGTAGCAAAAATACACAACACTTTTCATGAACACTTTGTACTTGTAACAGCACCTTTTAAACTGGAAAAATACATTGTGTTTAGTGTTGCAATAATCAAGAGCAACTGGTGTTCTGTCTGCATCTATGTGAGGACAAAGTTTCTGTACTGCTGTGATTGCAGCCTCTGAATTGTAAACCTAACCACCTGTATATCCTTAGAAAGAAACGCAAATGAAATTGCTTTCTGTGTTCTGACCAAATAAATGTGCATAGCTTTTATAGAAAAAAAACAAGAGAAGGTTGGAACTATAAATGGTGAAAGAAAATTAAAAAAATTACCACAAATGGAATTATTGGAAAATCCCAGTAATCCCAGTAAAAAGGGGGGGAAAAGTGCATGTGAATTTTTACAGTGTTCCAATGCTCTGCGTTGCAGCTCTTTTCTGTCTGTAGTATTTATTGGAATGACTTATTTCAGCTGTCACAAATGTCTCAAACTGTCCAGTTTGACAAGACTTTCTTTCAACACAGGTTGACATATGTGCGTTTCAGCCCAGTTTAGTCCTGATAAAACCCCTGTACTTCACAGCGATTTCTGAGAACATGACATAAAATCTACCTGAAGGCCGGCAGCTTTTTTTTTTATTTTCAAACTTTTTTTTTCAACTTCTCGGCATCCATTGGGAACTCTCTTTGAGCCCATGAGAATTTTTGTGAACAGTTCCTGTTGTCCAGCTTGGCCTTTGCCCACAGTGCCCACAATATTTGGTTCAAGCCAACCTGAAACTGATTATTTTGATTTCGATGTTTTTTATGATGGTTTCCACCAGCTACATCAACTGCAACAGATTTTTCTCTTTCCATTTTTTTTTTGTTGCTCATCCTTGAAATATCAACACTGCTTCACAGTGGTGAAACCTACTGAAAACAGAAAAAGAAGAAACTTTGGCAGCTTTGGAAGTGGCCCTGAGGATATTAACAGGTGAGCCTGTTTTTATGCTGTTAAAGCAACTATCTTTGTTTAATTCAATCTTCTCAGCTATTTATTCTTGGTTCTTAAATATCTATTTTTGGGAGCATTAATTTGCTGGCACTCTCAACTGTAATAATCAATATCACATAAGAACAAATGTTTAGGGACTGACAGAAGATCCCTGTTCACAAAGACAGACTGACAGAGTATGGACAATCAGCAAACTCCTTCAGATGCTCTCATATAGAACACAGACACAAATGCATTCCCAGAGAATCTTAATCAGCAGCTGTGCTGAGCTGTAACTCTTGCATCCGTTATTGATTGTCCGCCCAGGTTTGTTTGTCTTTGGGTGCCTGTGGGAATCTCCCTGGAGTCCGCGGAGTCAATGAGAGTGTAGCACAGAAAGACTATCAGCCCAGTAGCAGCAATTAGCCCTGGGACTGAGACCGACATGTCTCCTCTGGTCAGCCCTACGACCACAGAAACACAGCAACAGTATCACACAAGGCCGGGAGCGACTGTGCTCATTAAACAACAGAGTCAGAGGCCCAGACAGGCACAGTCCAGAAGGAACAAAAACAGCATGTTGCCCTGTTAAATACATAATATCTGGATTTGTCTTCGTGTGGGCTGTGCAAATGTATGTGTGGGTGGATGAATATGTATCGGTTAAAACATAAACACGAGGTTCCCTATTTAACCTGTGTACATGAAAAAAATATTGGGAGATTTTGCCAGGCCTGTGTGAGTCATTCCAGTTAAAAATGGTAACAGCACACTAAGGCTATACAGCAGGAAGGTACAGTGTCAGAGTAACACAATATATATCTATTCATATATCTATATATTTTTTAAATTTCGTATAGGAGATGATATGCTTTAATGTGATTTGTAGAACAAGTTGACCTTTCTAGCTATATGAAAAAATACACCTGACTGCTGGCTTGTGGGTCTTTCTGATTGACACAATGACATCATAGGCCTGGTTGGGTTTGATTGGGTTTTAGATGTCAGTTGATAAAGAAAAACTTGGGCAGTTCTTTTAAAAGAGAGGCTAATTCATCATTATTTGCGTGTCTCCGCGTGCTGATCTAATAATATGGGTCAGTAAGTGTTGTAGAAAGGTCAGCTCTTGCTTACGTCTCTGCAGTTACAGAGCATTTTTTGAAATTCAACTCTCTGATCAAACCCGTGTCTCAGTAGGGAGAACCCAACCAATGTGCAAAGTGTCAGGCTTTAACAAATGAAGTCATGTCAAATTAATGAATCTATATATATACATAAAGAGAAAGTTTTCCCTTTGGACACCAACAGACAGACAGACAGAAACCAACAGACTCTTAAAGGTTATCCTATTAAATTTCTAAAGATGAAACGAAACTTCAGTGTAAAAGAGCTGTGGACTAGTTTAGGATGGACCAGATGTTTTCTCTTTCCCGAGAAACTTAAATTGCAGATTCCCTGATGAGAGCTCTACTTTCAGCTGAAGAGGAACGTCTGCAGATACTGTCCAAATGCAATTATATGATTTATAATTGGGAAGTTTGAAAAAATGTTAACATTTCTGTGGAGCCAAACTGTCATATAATGGTCAAAGCCACAGAGTATTAAAGCCCCTGCCATCTGAACAGAAGAATAGTCAATGAGCAAGAAATTGACTGATCTATTTCAAATTCCAAAAACACAGCGGTAGTTGTGAAATATCATTGAACTGACCAATCTTCACATGCATCCAAATTATTTTGTGTATGTGAATGTAGCAAATGGCTATATGAACAACATAACAAAATACCAAGTTTTCTACGTTTAAGGAAATGATAGCTAACATTGTTCAAGATTTACTGGTTAATGTTGAATGTTTTAATTGATAGATTAAGAGCAATAAGCACTTAATTTATATAATAAGCTAAAAACACAATATAAATTTAACTCCATAAGCATATCTGGTTTATCACAAGGACAAAATGACAGTGTAAAAAAGTTATGTCACAACTCTCCATGTCAAAAATATTCTATTAACCAGAAGCTTTGGAATATGATCCTATCCTGCATGTCTGTGCTCATGACAGTTTTTTTCACCCGCTTAATGTTAATAACGTATCATCTTAATACAGTTTTGTGAAGAGAACTAAATGTATTCATCAGTGATAATAAATCCCAGTAGAGAAGAAAAAAAACAGAAGGAAGAGCATAGAAAGGGAGGGAGTGCAGTCATTTGTTGTTCTTCTCATGAAAAGCTCATTCATAAAGAAACCTCCAAGATGAAGGATGATACTGCACAAGAGCACTACCACTACATGGCAAAGCCGCAAGGAGAAATCTGCTTTCTAAAACTGACAATGCAGAGAAAATGCACTTTGCTAAAGAGCATATAGATAGCACAGAAGCCTGTTGCAAAAACTGAAAACAAAGTACATCAAGTAACAGGCATAATGTTTGGAGGAAAGACAGCTACAAAATTCAAGC